TGCCCCCTTGGCAGGTAACTGGCTGTAGTTCCAGTGGTCGGTAAATGGCTCACCACAGCCGTCGGTAAACGGTTCATCGCAGCTGTTGGTTTACCGCAGCCATCAGTCAATGGCTTACCGCAGCCGTTCACTTCAGCCGTCGGTAAACGATTCACTTTCAGCCGTCGATAAAGGGTCCACCGCAGTCAATGGTAACCCGTCAACCGCTCTCTCCTGTCCCGTGACGCATTATTTCACCATGAGCTGATATTCTCAATTATATTATTTATATTAATTATTCATTAGTAAAAATCGTTCAATGGTGGGGGAATACGTCACAACGGATGAAAAAATTTAACCCACGATTACTCGTTCAATGAGCGCGGCGCCCGTTTTTGTCTATTTATATTTTTGTGTTTCTTGACGCTCAAAAATTCTTAAAAATTAGAGTTCCTAGTTTAATCTTTTTATTGAGCATTGGCATTGTCTGTTTTATTTCAAAAAATTTGTTTAGCTACAAAAAAAAAGACAAATCGAACGGACAGAAAAGCGCGCCGCGCCGCTCCGCCCGGTGCGAGTAAATTTCTGTCGACCACTCGAGCGAGCTACATTTACTGCTTCATTCACTGCCACATTTGAAAGGCACACGTAGCGGTAGGCGCCAATATGGCAAGAGCGCGCTCGGTTTACTTCAGCGGCCCATCGCTAACCGTGTGATAAACGAAGGCTGGCGGCCGAGCACGAGTGATCGCGGGTTAATAGTAATATTTACCTAGCATTCGCATTTGGCAATTGGTTAGAAACTTCTATTGGATATCTATTGAACTCTCAATTAGTTTTTGCCCGATTCTATTGAGATGATTAACAAAAAATATTCAATAGAAAAAGTCAATCGAATTCGATTTGCTCTCTATATAACTTTTTTTGTTTGATTTTCTTGATAAAAACAAAAGGACAATAGTAGAAAATTTGAGCCAAGGACATTTTCTATTCCTATAGAAAATATCTAAAGAGAATAAGTTACATAGGAAAATCGAATTGCACTGACTTTTTCTATTGAATATAATCTATTTAGCATTTTACTAGTATCGGCCAAAAACTAGTAGAAAATTCAAAACAAACTGCAATAGAAATTCCTAATAAATTCGCAAGATTTTTCTATTAAATTTTTCCATAAGCGGTTCTTGAAAATTCTTAGGTTTTCGAGAAAATTCCAAGAAAATCTTCCGGATTTTGAGAAAATTATAGGAATTACTCTGGCGAACCAAGTTGATAGTTGGGCTTTCAATAATTTCCAGTGTTCGAGAGAAAATTGAGAGTTGTTAGTTGAGGCTTGGAGCAACGAGGACTACAATGCATTTTATGCTAGCCCCTCTCAATATTATCAAGTTTTTTCAAAATTGAGAATTGGATTTGTAATTCTTGATGATCTCTTTATTTGCAATCAACTTTTTCGGAAATGAAAATTAATCCCAGGACAATTGTAATATGTTTTTTTCAAAGATAATTTGAAATGAAATTTCTAGTGAACGGAAATTTTTAAAATTAACTAGGAACAGGAGCCCAAAAAAAGCGAAAAATGTGAAAATCGACTCGTGGCCATTCCTAGGCTACATTCATTGCTAGCCATTCCTATGCAGCTAGCCAGCTGCATTTATTGCTGGCCATTCCTAGGCTGCATTCATTGCAGCCTAGAAAGATCAATATAAAGGTTGGACGTGAGTCAACTTTGGGCCAACTCTGCATTGACTTTTGGTCAACTTTGGGTCAACTTTAGCTTGGCCTTGGGTTAACCTTGGCTTGACCTAGTGTTTCCCGATCTAGTATCGATACTTACTTGCATCGACATTTCTGGGTTGGGATTGATAGGAGAAAACTCAGGAACAAGTAATGAGAAAAAAAATTAATCTAAAAAATATTCATAACGGATTTAAAGACCAGGGAGGTCAAAAGAATAAGATGATTCCTCGGGGTCAAAATATCAGAAGGGACAAAGGGATTACAAGAGGATGGTCCAATTTCAAGAGGGTCAAACATCATGAGGGTCGAACGTCACGAAGGTCACAAGGGGATGATCAAATTTCACGAAGGTCAAAAGTCACAAGGGTCACATTGAGACGATGAAGTTTCACACGGATCAAAAGTCACAAGAGTCACAAGGGGACGATCAAATTTCCCGAGGGTCAAACAGCACGAGAGTTACAGGGGGATGGTCAATTTTCACGAAAGTCAAAAGTCACGAGGGTTATAAGGGAATGCCTAAATTTCACGAAAGTCAAAGGTCACGGGAATCACAAGGGGATGATCAAATTTCACAAGGGTCAAAAGTCACAAAGGTCACATGGAGACAAGGTTCACAAGTGTCAAACGTGACGAGCGAGACAAGGGGACGATCAAATTTCACGAGGGTCAAACAGCACGAGGCTCACAAGGGGATGGTCAAATTTCACAAAGGTCAAACGTAACGGGAGTCACCGTGAGATGTTCAAATTCCACGAGGGGCGAATTTTCACGAGGGCCACAAGGAGACGGTCAAATGTCACGGCAGTTAACCGACACAAGGGGACGGTCAATTTTCACAAGGGTCAAACTGGGAGGGTCACAAGGGGACGATCAAAATTACGAGTCAGTACGAAACTCACAGGGAGATCGCCAATTTTTGAACTTTCCAGGGCCCGAAATGATTCTGTGAAAAATTCAATAAACGTGAATAATGAACACCATTATCCTTCCTACAAAGGGTTGGAGATTGTTTCATGTGATTCTTAAAGATCGTTGAAGCATCTTATTTCCTTGTGACTCTTGTGATCTTAGCTCCTCGCTCCTTTGACGTTGGACCTTCGTGGAAAATGACCATTGGAACATTCAAACGTAATAACATTTCATTATTCCTTTGTGACTCTCGCGTGACATTTGACCCTCGTGAAATTTGACCATCCCCGTATGACTCTTATGTCGGTTGACTCTCGTAAAATTTGACCGTCTCCTCGCGACCCTCTTGCTGTCTGACCCTCGTAAAATTTGACTATCTTCTTGTGACCCTCTCGTGGAATTTGATCGTCTCTTTGTGATCCTCGTATCGTTTCCATCCCGTGATATTTGACCATTCCCGTGAGAGCCTCGTGCCGTTTGACACTTGTGAAATTCGACGGCACTCTTATGACCCTTATGACGTTTGACTCTTGTGAAGTTCGACCATCCCCGTGTGACTCTGGTACTGTTTGACTCTCGTGAAATTTGACCATCCCCTTGTGATCGTCGTAAAATTTGACCATTCCCATATGACCCTCGTGTCGGTTGACTGATGAAATTTCAATCATCTCCCTTGTGGCTTTCGTAGAGTTTGACTCTCGTGTATTTGATCATTCCCTAGTGACTCTCATGACGTTCCACCGTCGAATGAAGAAAATAATAATTCTGTGCAAAACGTAATGTGAATGACATTGAATATTCATAACTTATCTCAATTTTCCCTTGCGTAATTTAATTGACAAATTTGATGATTGAAAGTGGCGCAATCTATAGAATGGTCTGTAGCAATTGTAAACAATGGGATATCCTCACGTGAATGAATCTGAATGTTTAAGGCTTTTAACGCGACATTCTTCAACTTAATTTTTTTCTATTTGCCAATGTCATCCACAATTTCTAAAAAGATCGATATTACGAGCATCGATATTTTCCAAGGCGATACTTTATGGTATAGATACCAAGCAATCTGCTTCGATACGATACTGCGTATCGATATTTTTTGGGTATCGGGAAACACTAGCTTGACCACGAGTCAACCTTGGCTTGACCATGGGTCAACCTTGGCTTGACCATGGGTCAACCGTGACCTGCCCGTGGGTCAAGCTTGGCTTGACCGTGGATCAGCCACGGCTCAACCTTGGTTTAACCACGGATCAAATTTGGAATGACTATGGGTCAACCTTGGGTTGACTATGGGTCAATCTTGGGTTGACTATGGGTCAACCTTGGCTTGATCGCGGGACCTGTTGATTAAATCTTGATTTAACCTTGACGAAACCTTGGTTAAACCCTGATTAAACCGCGATTAATCTCATTAAACCTCGATTAAATGCTTTTTAGGCTATAATTTCAAAGCAAATGATTCGATCGCCGCTATCTTCGAACTCAACCGATATAACATCGATATAAAAATATTTTAAGCCATAATTGAAAAGATTTCGACGATTATTTTTCCAACCCAAATATCGGGCAACATTCGACATCACGTGGTACACGCTACAGGGTTTTCAACTGATAATTTGTTGATAATTTTCTCTGGTAGTTACTACATAAAAAACAAAACATCATGCAGTCGAATTAACCCCTCGTTAAACTGACAGATTGAATTCAATTGTGGTAATCGGAGGATTTTTATTCGAAATGAGTAGATTCAGAGTTCATTCCCTGAAAACCATTGATGAAAAATTAAACGGGAATATTCCCGTCGATACGGAGAAAAGGAAGAAGACAATTTGGAATCAATTTACCAGTTTATGTGATGAGAGAAAGTTTGTGTTGAGAGAATTTCAAGACAATAGAGAATAAAAAATGCAACTGTCAACTATAAAAAAATCGAGAATAGATTTAGAGGTAGTTAAGAATCAAAATTCCAAAATCAAATGTTCAATTCTGAAAAAAGTTGATTGAAATTGAAGAAGTCACTAAAAATAACAAACCATAAAAATCCAATCCTTGAATCCAATTGTCTGTATTAACCCGTCACTAGGCGCGCTACGAGCGATTCCATCAACAATTTTCACTCCATAGGAAATATACCCTGAAAACGCAAATCTTTTGCTGAATTTTTTTTTATGCTTCAAGCATAAAAACTCTTCTAGTTAACTCTCGTGGTGATAAAAGTCATCTATTGATCAGGATTGAATAGAAAAATAATATTTTTTTCAGCACGGTTGAAATTTTCCACGTGTTACTGGTATGGGGCTCGTGGGGCAGAACGCCGAACAGTGTCACGTATTCCTACGTGGTCTCCCCCAAATTAATCAGAAATGTAGAGTCAAATAACATTTTATTAATCTACGCTATGAAGCTCAGTCTCATTACATTTTTTTCGATAAAAATATAATTGATGACGAGAAACTTCACGAAAATAAATAACATAGATAATTTTTATAAAAACAATTCACCACTCTCCAACTGTTGCCTTTAAATTCCAGCATGCATCCTTGATCCTTCAGAGTTGAACAACTCCTATCCTGATACTTGCTGAACACCAGCTCCATGACGCATGATATTTATTCGCTCATATCAGAGCCCATAAACTCCAGAAACAGGAATTTACCTGAAAAAGAGAAATAAAGAATGAAATAGAAATCTCTGACACATGCTATAATCGCTCTATCGACAACACATTCCCAGAAAATGACTAAATACACACGACAATGACCTCGATTAACGAAAATAAAATAAAAGAACAAAACATACTAACGGAATTACCACATTCCCAATGTTTCCTTATCCTGGCCTATCCAGAGTGTCCAGGTACAGCATCGACATGCTTGCCAACTCCCAGAAGTGCCTGATTACTACTGCACTCCCTTCCAAAGCTCGAGAGACCATTGGTGTCCTTCTCCAAAGAGCATTCCCACGGGTTAACCCGCAAACACGAAAAATAAATTAATATTTGGCAGAATAACAATTTCTGGCCCATCCTGAGCTGATTCTAAGCCTCAGAACAGACCCTGCAGAGTCAAATTAAATAAATAGATATAATACAGGCATGTCAAATTAATAAGAAATATTGTTTAATCATAGTCGTCCTCGCGACACTAATATTTACCATTAATATACCTCACTCTTATACATTTCTTTAGGGTAGATCGTCCTAATGTTCCTATGCCTCAAGTGCATTCCTGAAAAGGGAAAATAATATAATCATTTACATGAAATAATACATATTCTATTTCAGCTACCTTATAAAATAAATAAATATGGATATAAAATTTTACGTACTTACAGTTACGCATAAGGTAGCCAGTTACTCTGATGTCCAAATAATAATCCTGGAAAAGGAGAAAATAACAGTAAATAAATAAATACATCAGATTTATCATTTCAGAATGACAATGCAAATAATATAGACAATTTAAATGTCTCAATTCAATAAATATTTTTCATAAGCAAATAAAGCTATTATTCTCTCCTTGAGAAAAGGAAATATTAATCGAAATAACTATTCAAATGGAAAGTTCAATAAAATAAACAATAAAACTGAGAGACTATATGACACAAAACAAACACAAGACACACAGACATTCAAAATAAACTCAGTCAAAACAGAACCATGGGGAACATATAACCTCACCTGTCACTTTGACAAAAGCCAATATATTGAAATCTAGCAAATGAATGCAGGTCAAATCATGAAAATTTATGATTAAAATATGTGGAGAGGAACAGAACACTTTAAAAATAATCAAAAATATAAAAAGTCAATAAATAAATATTTACCTATTTTACTCCTCTCGTATACGTTGACAGCCTGTTGTCACTCGAAAACATGACCCCAGAAAAATCAATAATGCTGAAAACAATAAAAGTCCATTGGAAACTTAACAAATATACACTTTGAAAATACTTATCTCAGAGAAAATATGTGTCACTATGACATTGCGTTAGGTCATGCGCACAACTATCCCAGCGACAGTCGCTGCTTGCGGTAATGCTCGTTCGAAGCGCCGCTAGGTATCCAAACCTGTAACTAAAAATAATCGAATTAATTCGATTAAAATGAAATCAAATAAAAATATTTAGGGACCAGTAAGGAGCCCACGATAAACAAATAATAAATGAAATAATATTTAGGGACCAATAAGGAGCCCACGATAAACAAATAATAAATGAAATAATAATTAGGGACCAATAAGGAGCCCACGATACATTCAATGTGAACGATAAATGCGAAATAAAGTAAATTTATGAGCGATCGAGCTCTGCAATAACTGAGAAAACTGCTATTTTGTCTCAACAAGGCTAACAAAAGAACAAAAGAGAAAAGATATATCGTAGGGAGGGCGTAACAGTATTTGCCACCTTGATATTTCTGGTTAACAAATCTAAATAATTAAACTCTATTAATTCGGGACCAGTAAGGAGCCCACAAATACAAATACAAAACAAATACAAAACTACTTAAAATTTTAGACGAGTTGGCCCGTCATGGTGAGGGAAGTGAGGAAAGTGCTCCCGAAAATATGTCAGATCTCCTAAAATTCTAGAGTTTCCAAGAAGAGACTAAATTTCAGGATCTCAGCAGTTGTATGACTCTTTCAGACATGAAACGAAAACAAAGGCATTTATCACNGAAATATTGTTTAATCATAGTCGTCCTCGCGACACTAATATTTACCATTAATATACCTCACTCTTATACATTTCTTTAGGGTAGATCGTCCTAATGTTCCTATGCCTCAAGTGCATTCCTGAAAAGGGAAAATAATATAATCATTTACATGAAATAATACATATTCTATTTCAGCTACCTTATAAAATAAATAAATATGGATATAAAATTTTACGTACTTACAGTTACGCATAAGGTAGCCAGTTACTCTGATGTCCAAATAATAATCCTGGAAAAGGATAAAATAACAGTAAATAAATAAATACATCAGATTTATCATTTCAGAATGACAATGCAAATAATATAGACAATTTAAATGTCTCAATTCAATAANAAACTCAATTAATTCGGGACCAGTAAGGAGCCCACAAATACAAATACAAAACAAATACAAAACTACTTAAAATTTTAGACGAGTTGGCCCGTCATGGTGAGGGAAGTGAGGAAAGTGCTCCCGAAAATATGTCAGATCTCCTAAAATTCTAGAGTTTCCAAGAAGAGACTAAATTTCAGGATCTCAGCAGTTGTATGACTCTTTCAGACATGAAACGAAAACAAAGGCATTTATCACGATCAAGAATATTAACAAAATAATTAAATTTACAATGAAAAATTGAAAAGAAACGTAAAAATACTAAAAATTGTCCGATCTATGTCATCGACATTTCAAAAGAGAGAGAAAATTATATGTAAAACAGAAATATTGTCACAATAATTTTAATATTGTAAACTACAAGTTACTAGCAATTTACTTGCAAGCAGCCGAACGCATTATGGACAATGCAACAGAAAGAGACAACTATGTACTATCTCTCTCCTACATACAGAAAACTACAAAAGAGGTGGAACTGTTCTTCTCCACCGAGGATACCAGCATCCTATTGGCTTTATGGCCCCACCACGGTGCACCTGTCGCACCTGCGCAGTCGAGCGCAACTTTTTTAGTCGAGACGAAAAGATCTCGGAGCTACAGCAGTAGTATCTCATTCCTGTTCCTTCTGAACAGTCAGTCGAGAGTCTGCAGTCGACAGTCTACAGTCGTCAGTCTACAGTAGTAGTCAGTACCTCGTAGCTGTTCCTTCTGAACAGAAGTATTCTATCGTTGTTCCTTTAGAACAGTCGTCTCTCCGCGTTCGTTCGGAACGGTATCCTCTTACTCTTCAAGCAACTTGGTAAATTAATAACTTCGATTATCAACGGTAATAAGCTTATAGCAAGCTTCACTGAATTTTGTTCAAGTCTCCTATGGAGTTCGGAACTTAAAGTTCATTTTATTCAAAATGGAACCCCCCTCTGGATCTCCATAAAATATTAAAACACAGAAATAACTTTGAAACTTAAATAAACCCAATTAAACCGAAATCGATTGGATTTCCGCGGTGCAGAAAGAACTGACTAGTAGCTCCGCGAACTGATCGTGTTATTTTAACAAAATTGTCAATCCATTTTATTTAAAGTGAAATAAACACAGTGAAATTACTTTAGTGAAGTTTATTCAGTGCACAAGGAGTTTTTCTTAAAATCATCACCGTCAGTGTTGAAAATCCTTCGAATTGTTCATCTGCGGCCTCTAGGCTGGGGATGGATATTCTAAGGTCTCTTGACAAATAGACGGCTATTACTTTGTCGAAATTTTGGTGAGTTGTCTTGCCGCTTTTCCCGCACAGGGGGTAGTTTGCCAAGTTAATCCGATTTTCACTAAAGTGAAAAATGTCAGACAGTTAATTGTCTTCGAGTTTCAGTCACGGGTAGTTTTATTGCCTGGACTATCCACTCGCAGATAATGGCTCACCTGATTTTCCCTATCCCTTTTAAATAATAAATTCCGAATACTAAATTCATTCGGCATTCGTTAAAATTGTTACGATAATTTTGCCGAGACGACGAGTGATCACCGACGGCTAATACTGCTGTCATGAAATAAAAGTGAAGTGCAAAGTAGAATTGTTTTTTTAAATGAATCTGAGATTATTTTTCTACTCATTCCGTAGTTTAGATTGTGACCGTTTTCAATATTCTATTCAACTAATTCCTGAAAAGAGGATTAGGGCGAGTCAAGAAAAGGGACAAATAAGGGATAATTTGAGAATAATTAACTATATTTTCTCTAAATACAATTCTGCTCGTCAAAAAACGTAAATAAGGCCTTTAACTGAGATCTAGGGAATCGGGGGAGGCCAGGCAGCTTTTGTACACATCTAAAGGGCGATTCTAGGGGATTATAAAGGGGGAGATTCTAGGTGTATCAAGGGGAAAATGATAAAGAAATGAAAATAGAATAATTTAATTTACTGGGGGGAAAAATAACCATATGTGGCGCACCGTTGGGGAATAGAATGGCATAATGGCTGGATGAAGCGGAAATTTTTTCTCTCTAAATTCTAATTCTCTTAGAATGGCGATTGTTTTCATTTAATAATCGGGTGGCAAGGGGAAAATGAGGGAAACAACTCGTACTTACGTCGGCTTCCTAATGCAATTCGCACGACGAATTCTCCTCCAAGTGTCCTCAGAAGTCGGGGCCTTCCTTCTTACTCTCATCTTCCTGGGCACCAATTGAACAGCGATGAGCTCAGTGTCTCCGAGATCCTCTTTTCGACCAATTACAGTAACTTCCAGGGTGATTTTCACAACAAACGGGCTTCCTTCTTATACAATTATCTGGGCACGTGGCAACACTCGGGGCAGGTGGGTTACGAGTGATTCCTTTCTCTTCTCTTCCTTCTTCTCCTTCGTAATTCGGGGGAATTCGCAGGATCTCGAGTTCTTTCGGGTCAACTTCGAGGAGAATCGGGGCCAATCAAGGTGTTGAGATTGTGCCCACGATCACAATCCAGACCTGTGTCGGTGGTGAATTTCAAGGGCGGTGGATTTATCGAGGCTTATCCACGGGCGATTCTCGGGGGGCGACGGCTCCTTCACCCACTCCAGGTGGTTCGGAACTGCTAATTTCCTTCGGCGGCTGTTCGTCGTTGAATCCAGGGGCGTTGGTAGAGGGATAACGAGGAAAATATCTAGAAAAAGGGTAACCATCGGTGCTGGGATTTACGTTTTAGGGGGCTGTATGTGTTGGGGAAAAATGTATGTAAAAATAATAAAAAAATAAAGAAATGTGCCTCGTCACAACATGTATGAAATTCTCCATTTTTGCATTAAAATTTCAAAATAAAATTCTTTTCGTATCACGAAATCACTATTATTATATCTGATCAATTGAATCGCTCATCAATCACTAAATTAATTGATAATCTTATATTTGCGCGCGTTGGAGTCTAAGGTTTCCCACAACTTATCATCCACGGTATTACTAAGCTTTAACCTACTTGCAATCTTACAGACATTACAAAATTAACTGTTTTGGGGAAATGGTACGTCTGATAGGTCAAAAGTATGTCCATGGGCATATTGACGAATGTCGTCCTGCCTGGAGACAGCTACCAGGTTTTCTACCCGCGTTTCATTTATAGGCGACGATTGAAGGCATACACTGCCTGACTCGTGTTGGCCAACAGAAATCAATTTGTAGAAGCTGACTGTCTTGCATACTGCTTATATTATTTGCGAACACGGTTGTAACTGCCGCTACTGGAAAAAAAGAGAAAAAAGATCGAATTAGAAAATTCTACATTTGTACATTGCAATAGCTTTATTATGCTCACCTAATGCAATGGCCGTTATATACTCGTTGTAGAATTTATCCTATCCCTATCTCGATAGTCCTTAAACAAAAAAACCTAACCGACAAAAGCGATTGTGTGGCTCAGGTCCAGTTTGTTCTTGGTGAAAGGAGCGTTAGCAAAAGGCGCTTTAAGGCCCGGGTGGAAGGTTTTTCACCCGACATATCGCTAGGAAATTCCCCAGAAAATTATGAAAAATAACGTTTTACGGGGTTCCTAAATACGACCGCATTGTTTAGTAAAAAAATCGAAAATTTGTCACAATAAATGAATTATTTATTTTCCGGTGGATCGGAAATTAGGTCTGGAGGGGGGAAAATAAATGAATGTATTTTTTTCTGGCGAATTAAAAATCAAACTAAATAAACACCATCATTGCCCCCTAGCCAAATTACACTCGCGTGGCACCGTGTCAATATGGCGAAGGTGAGTGCCAATGACAAAAACAATAATTATCATTTTTACACATACTAGACACTTCCGGGACCCAATTTCCGATCCATGAACTATTTTTTACTATCTTCCGCTGTTTTCCCGAAGCGATTGGACGGCTCCAATTCCCGTAATTATGAACGACGTAATTGAGACGATCCGCTGTCACCATATTTTTTTCTT